ATTTTATCATGAAAGGATGTTGAAGTTCTCGTTTTGTTCATTTATTGTCTTCCTAATTCCATCTGGTTTTATATCTTTGTTCTTTTTTGAAATTCTTTAGGATAACTATTTTGAAATCTTTATCAGGCAGTTCATAGTTCTCCATTTCTTCTGGATGGGTTATTGGAGCTTCAGTTTGTTACTTTGGTGATCTCGTGTTTCCCAGACTTATCAGATCTTAGTAGCCTTGAATTGTTGGCTACCCATCTGAAGAGGCACTCATCTCTAGTAGACTTTACAGTCTGGAATCATCAGGGAGAGTCACTCCCCACTCAACTCGGCCCGAGATTCTGCATAGGCCAATTGGCAGGGTCCACAGGCAGGATAGCTAGTGGGGTTTGTGGGCAGGGACAGGTCAGCTGGCAGGGTCCACAGATGAGCGGGCTCATTGCTGGAATCTGCAGACAGGCATGCCTGATGCTAACATCTATAACATATCTGTCTAATAACTACAATAAAATTAGAACATATGTGGGGAAAATTCTTTAAAAGGGAAAATCAATATTATCAAAGCAATGAAAATTAAAAAGGCAAATGATAAAATTCAGCAACCATTTCTACCCATAAAAAAAAACTGCTAGAAAAATAAAACTACTTGAATTTTATTTAACTATTCACCATAATGAACAACAAATATTATTTCAAATGGTGAAATGTTAAAGCCATTCCCATTAAAATCAAGAACAAGTTGGGATATTCACCATCACTGTTACTACTTATTGTTTTATAATTTCTAGTATAATAATACACTAAAATAAAATAATTGGTATAAATACTAAAAAAAAAAAAAGATGTAATTCTCTTTCTGGTAATATGGTTATATATTTTGGAAAATTCTACTCCCTCAGAAAAATACGAACACAACAAAACACTTGGATAAGTGATTGCATAACAAATATATCCAAAATAAAAAATATGTACCTTATATCTATACTGGCACTATCAGCTAACACAGTCAGTAATGAGAAAACATATGCCATTGACAACTGTAACAAACATGAGAATATATTTTAATTTTTGTTTTAAAAGTGAATACTTCCACATGGTACAAAATTTAAAAGACACAAAAGAGAACAAGGAAGAAATTATTTATGTTTTTCAGCCACTGACTTCCCCTCCATGGAACAAAAATGCTATATAATCAAGTAAATGTAATATATATCCTTCCTATAAACACACACAAAAGATAGCATGCTATAGTATAATGTCACTTGATTTGTTCACCAAAGAACAAATATATTATTCTTTTATATATATATATATAATATATTGTATATAATATATAATATATATATATATTTTTTTTTTTTATTGATTTCAGAGAAGAAGGGAGAGGGAGAGAAAGATAGATACATCAATGATGAGAGGGAATCATTATCTACCTCCTGCATGCTCTCTACTGGGGATTGAGCCCGAAACCCAGGCAAGTGTCCTTGGCTAGAATCAACCTGGGACCCTTCAGTCCACAGGCCAATGCTCTATCTACTGAGCCAAACCAGCTAGGGATGATTATTCTTCTTAATGAATCCATTAATTTAACCAGTTATGTATTGATGGACAAGTTTCTTCCAAACTTTAATTATTACAAACACTCACATGTAATAAGTATTCTTGTATATGCATCATCAATTTGTATCAATATCATTATAAAATGTTTTACTGTGCATAATTAAAGTGCACATTTTAACATATGCATACAATGTGGTACCATGACCCAAATCAAGATAATGAGCATATCAATCACTCTTTTTAAAAAAAAAAAAATATATATATATATATATATATTTTATTGATTTTTACAGAGAGGAAGGAAGAGGGATAGAGAGCTAGAAACATCGATGAGAGAGAAACATCGACCAGCTGTCTCTTGCACAACTCCCACCAGGGATGTGCCCGCAGCCAAGGTACATGCCCTTGACCGAATCGAACCTGGGACCCTTCAGTCCACAGGCTCTATCCACTGAACCAAACCGGTTTCGGCTAATCACTCTTGACCTGTTGTGATTAATCCCTCCCATCATTCTATCCTCTCCCATATCCCCATGTCCTTAGGCAAACCCATTGACCTATTTTTTTGTTATTATACATTAGTTTGCATTTCCTAGAATTTTACATAAATAGAATAAGACAGTATATAGTTCTTTGGTCTGAATTCTATCAGCTAATTATTTAAAAATTCATCCATATTGTAGTATATATCATTCTTTTTTTACTCTGGAAGTTAGGGGTGACCAGGCAGGCAGGCAGATGAGCAATTAGGAGCCAGAGGTCCAGGATTGTGAGAAGGATGTCTGACTGCTGGTTTAGGCCTGATCTGGGATCCCAGATTGGAGAGGGTGCAGGCTGGGCTGAGCCCCTTTCTCCCCCTCAATGCATGAATTTTGTGCACTGGGCCTCTAAAATAATATAAGAATAAACTATTGATGAGAAAAAATAACTTCTGTTGGGGTCTATGGGAAGAATTTTTTTTTTTTTTTAAAGGATAGATGAAATTTGACCTGATCTTGTAAACTAGCACAGGTGAAGTAGGCAAAGAAGAGAGCTTGGGTTAAGAAAAGATAGAAAACAAATGCTGAGCCTGAGGGGACAGTAGTTGCTAGAAATATGAGGTGTTGGAAAATAAGAGATATGGTCATGAATAAATACTATAGCCTTTAAGACAAACTTCATTAAAAAATACATTTTGTGAAGCATTATGAAATCATAACAACACCTTTCTGCCAAATAAGAAAACACCTTTTTCATAAAGTTCTACATTTAGCTCTAAAACATCCTTTCTTAGATATTTGTGTTTTTTTCTTTTTCTTTTTTTATCCCTAGGTATTTATGTATGTAGTGTCTCTACCTGCTGAGTTAAAAAAGCCTCTACAGTCTACGGCCATACCACCCTGAACGTGCCCGATCTCGTCTGATCTCGGAAGCTGAGCAGGGTCAGGCCTGGTTAGTACTTGGAAGGGAGAAAAAGCCTCTACATAGGAACTCATCTTTTAAAAAATATATATGTATTTTATTTTATTTCAGAGAGGAAGGAAGAGAAAGAGAAACATCAATGATGAGAATCATTGATTAGCTGCCTCCTGTTACTGGGGATGGTGCCCAACTAGGGCATGTACCCTTGACTGGAATTGAATCTGAGACCCTTCAGTCTTCAGGCCAATGCTCTATCCACTGAGCCAAAAATGGCTAGGGCAGGAATTCATCTTTAATGAGAGAAGCTGAGGGATAAGGAGACCATTACAAGTCAGTGTATAGTTTATTCGTGGCAAAAAACAAACAAACACAAAACTACCTTTATGAGACACTAGACAAACAGGAAGTCAGCCATTAATTCATTTGTGCTCAAATCATATATTAAACTAGAAGAATCCTAATCCAAATAGTATGTTGATCTTGTGTAAATTCCAGTAATATGCAAGGGTACATCTGAGTTGCTGTATTGAGTACAGAATCAGCAGTTAAGAGCATGGGCTCCAGACAGCACTGTCTCTTGGACAGAGTTCAGAAGTGGGCCTGGATTAAATGTTCTTTCATCAGACTCTTGAAATCGCTAATACTTTTATCTGGGAAGTTGAGTTTTATGAGTGCAGTGGAACCTACATCATATAATGATCTCCTTATACATCAAGGGCTCAGTCTCAGGTCATGTGTGGCCCTGCTGTCCACATCTTCCCATTTGGGTTCTGTGGCTGCCCACAGCCCTGTCTATGCCCAGCTCAGGCCCCCTTCCCTGATTGCTGGGGCAGGGCTCCTAGGCACCTGTGAGTCTGTGCACTAGTCCCACCAGTATTCCTGTTATCCAGGGAGCAACAGATTAAATACCAATAAGAAATATATGACAGGTCAATAAATCATAAAAGAAACTTTTTCCTACTTTTTGAGTGGGGAGTTCTGCATTTTCATTTTGTACTGGGATCCGGAGATTACCACCAGCCCTAGAGTCCTCCTGGAAAGTCAGTTTCCTCATCTGTAAGATAAGAATAGTTGTTCCTATCTAATTGGATTTGCTGCTATTTTGGAGATCATTTGTCCCAGTACCTGATTCATATTACACTCAGAACTACAGGTGTCAAGTATTAATCAATATATTACCTAATTCATACTCCCTCCCTCATGTTTCATTTGCCTTCAGGCCAATGCTTTAAAATATCCATTCCCACAGGCGGCAGCAATATGTGTCCTGGTTTTGCTTTACATGTTCATTATCTAATTAAACTTTCTTACAGCGGGAAAACTGGAGAGTGTTGGGGAGTGGGGGAAGAGATCAACCAAAGGACTTGTATGCATGCATATAAGCACGCCCAATGGACGTGTGACAGGGGGTGGGAGAGGCTGAGGGAAAACTTAGGGGGCGGGGGGAGGAAGGAGATATATGTACTACTACCGTATATGTAATACTTTAAACAATAAAATAAAATTTTTAAAAATAATTAAACTTTCTTACAGCGTTCAGGAAAAACATGTTCACGCCTAAGTTATAATGTGAGGCTGAAACAAAAAGTTGTATCTAATAAGGCGTGGAAGAATCTTCACATGTACGACAAGATAAATAAAAATTCAGAGCAACACCTGGTGGTTCAAGTGATGCTTTCAAAAAAGCTCTCTCACCTCCGCTGGGACAAAAAAAACCAACAACTAAGGTCCTTACAACGCGGGCCCAGTCTACAAGTGAATAAAATAAAACCAGCCTCTTGAAAAAAATCCTTTACAAACAGATCGCCAAGTGCTCAGGGCACACCGCTCACGCCTGGTTTCCATAGGAACGCGCAATTCCGGAGCGTAGCCCTCTGCCCCGGAAGTTGTCCTGCCTCAGCGCCGGCGTCCCTTGTTATTTAAATGTTGGTTAGCGCACACGACTAGGGAGTTTTGGGGCAAACAGGCCACCGTCGAGGGGGCGTGGCGACGCCGACGCCAAAGGCGGACTGACTTCACGTGCCGCTGCGGATCCGCTTCCTAGATCAACCATGGCCCAGCCCGGGACCCTGAACCTCAATAACGAGGTGAGCACGGAGGTCTGGGGGCGCGTGGGGATGACCTTGGGGGCCTTTGAAGGGCACTCGTGCGTTTCTGTGAAGGACGCGTGGTCTGGCCGGGGTGAGGATGGGGAGAGCGGAGAGGAGCCTGCAGGTGGGCCCCGGCTGGGGTCCGGAACTCGGAGGATGCAGCGGTAACTTCGCCTCAGGTTTCTAGGTGACTGAAGCCAGAGACGTATATAGATGTATGCATTCAGTGTCCTCGTCTGTACAACTAAACTCGGAGTATAGTACCAGGTTGTGAGCATTAAATGAGCTGGAATACGGTTAGCGTTTCCCCAGTGCCTGACAGTTACCTACCTTATGTAGCTTCTCCTAAGAAATTGCTGACCCTGCATGAGGTCCTATCTTTTTATGAGGATGTTTGCTCAGAACCTCATTTCTTCTTTCAGCGAAAGCCCCATTTCTTTGCTTTCATTGACAGCAAAACTTTTAAGAGCTGCTTATATTTGTGGCCCCCAATTCTTCGCTCGTTCTGATTCCAGTCTCCTCAAACATTTGCCTTCATCACCTCCACCATAGCGTGCTCATGTCACCAGGCTACCGTTTGTGCTACTATTCTCTTTACAGTTTTTGCTTCTAGTCAAGGGAATCATGAAGCACCTGAAGATTAAAATTAAGCTGTAAAAGCAAGGTTCAAATTAGGATTCACAGCTACAGCAAAGATTGTTCTTTATCTTCTTTATTCAGTGGATACATATGTTTGCTTTAAACTGCTCACTGTTTATATTACACAGTTGTGTAAGGCACTTTCAATTTTCAAGCAACCTATACCAGGTAGGAAAACTCACTTATGACTCCGAATAATGCCCAGAAAAACAGTACAGTAAAGTTTCCAAAGAAGGCAAAGTGAAGTGAGTGCAGTATTTGTTCTGGGGATTTAAGAATCTTACGCAGGAATTTCAGGTCAGTGATTCAATAAAGGGGAAGAAGGCATTCCAGACCAATGGACCAGTATAAGCAGAAAAGGGATGCTATTAGGAAACAGCTTGTATAGGGATAGAAACTCTCCATTGATGAGAACTTGTGGGATGAAGTAGGAAATGAAACTGAAATATATTACTTCCTTACTGCCAGGTCAGTAAATCTGGGTTTCACTTGGCAGTGGAGTACAGGATTTATTAGAAAGGGAAATATTAAAGATGCTTTGGGTATATTTATAAATGTATATTCATCTTGTTTAAGTTCCAGAAAACATTTAGTGGGCTTTTCTGCATTAGGTTAACTATCCTATATAATCCTATGTAATAAAAGTAATATGCAAATTATCACCTTGCTACATCCACAAGCCACATCCAACAGTCACGCCCAACAGCCAATCAGAATGAATATGCAAATTAATCCCAACCAAGATTGCTGTGGCCACATAGAGCAGGAGAGAGGCTTGGGTTTCCCTGTCAACGGAAGAAGCCAAGCTTTCCACCTGCCCTGGCCAGCCTAGGCCTCCACTCTAGGCTACAAAGTTTCAATTATAGAAGGTAAAACAAATCCAAACAGAAATGGCGGCAGCCATGGAGCAAGCAGGGGGCTTGGCTCCACTCCCGGCTACAAAGTTTCAATTGTAGAAGGTAAATAAATCCCAGATATCAGGGCCTCTGCTTAGGTCAACATGGGGCATGGCTGGCCTGCAAACCACCACAGGCCCCTCCCCCAGGCCTCCCCATGCCCCAAGGGAACCCCTACCCTGATCCAGGACACCCTTCAGGGCAAACCATCTGGCCCCCACCCCTGCACCAGGCCTTTATTCTAAATAATAAGAGTAATATGGAGATTGACCATCACTCCAAGACACAAGATAGCTGCCCCCAGGTGGTCAAAGATCCTGCCCCCATGTGGACACAAGAGGGCCACCACAAGATGACCAGCAGGGGAAGGCAGTTGAGAGGGACCAGGCCTGCAAGGGAGGGCAATTGGAGGCAATCAACCCTACAGGGGAGGGCAGTTAGGGGTGACCAGGCCATTAGAAGAGGGTAGTTGGGGGCAAACCGGTTGGCAGGGGAGCAATTAAGACAACAATCAGGCTGGCATGGGAGTGGTTAGGGGGTGATCAGGCTGGCAGGCAGAAGTGATTAGGGGCAATCAGGAAGGCAGGCAGGCAAGCAGTTGGGAGCCAGCAGTCCTGGATTGTGAGAGGGATATTCGACTGCTTTTTTAGACCCGATTCTAGCATCGGGTCTAAAAGGGAATCCCTCGAGGGTTCCCAGATTGGAGAGGGTACAGGCTGGGCTGAGGGACACCCTCCCATCCCATGCACAAATTTCGTGCACTGGGCCTCTAGTAAAGAGCTAATGTGCAAATTGACCCTCACCCCCTCACACAAGATGGCCGCCCCCATGTGATCAAAGATGGCTACCACAAATTGGCCCCAGGGGAGGGTAGTTGTGGGTGATCAGGCCAGTGGGGGAAGGCAGTGGGGGGATGACCAGGCCTACAGGGGAGGGAAGGCAGTTTGGGGGGACCAAGCCTTCAGGGAACAACAGGGGTCACCAGGCTGGCGGGGCAGGGCAGTTTGAGGTGACAAGGTTGGCAGGGGATGGAAGTTAGGGGCAACCAGGCTGGCAGGGGAGGTCAGTTAGGGGCGACCAGGCCTGCAGAGGAGGGCCATTGGGGTGACCAGGATAGCAGGGGAGTGCAGTTGCTGGGGATCAGGCCTACAGGGGAGGACAGTTGGGGGTTACTGGGCCATCAGGGGAGGGCAGTTGGAGGCAATCGGGTCAGCAGGGGAGCAGTTAGGTGTTGGTCAGGCTGGCAGGGGATTGGTTAAGGGGTGATCAGGCTGGCAGGCATGCGAGCAGTTGGGACCCTATAGTTCCAATCACACAGGTAGTTGGACATCCCCCAAGGAGTCCCAGATTGGAGAGGGTGCAGGCTGGGCTGAGGGACACTCTCCCCTTCAAACCCCCCCCCCCCTGCACAAATTTCATGCACCAGGCCTCTAGTGGGGTATAAAAGATCTAATTGGAGTTCTTGGGAGTTTATTGGAAATACTAGTGAGTTCTTGTTCAATTTTGAAATTATTCTGAGAGTAGAAATGACATGCCACTCCTCATTTAAGGCTCTTTTTCCATTTAGCTAATTTTCAGGCCTCTTCCAAATAAATTTTAGGAAGTCTTCACTAATTCACCTCAATATGGGCTAAGTATCCTTTTTTTGTGCAACTAGAGTGCTTTCTACTCTGAAAACACTTGTTTACCTGTTTCTTATTGTGTGCATGTCTATCAACTACAACATATGTGCTCTATAAATGTTTACTGGATGACTAAATGAACTTACCAAATTGGAACTTACATATCTCACACTAAAATAAATCTTACATATTCTAATATGAAGATGGGGGGAAAGTAGACATGATAGTATAATTTTAAATGAATGGAAGGAAAACTGCAAAGGGAAAAGCAAATATAGATTTGTCTGCATAAAATTTGAAAAACATCCCAAAGGGGGGAGGGAAGCAGAACCAATTAGGAAAAGAACTAGGGCAAATGTGGCAGATAAATGGCTAATGCCATTACTGTAAAATACCTCATGGAAATTAAGAGGAACCATCTCATAGAAAATTGGTAAAATAAATGAATTAATTTTTCAAGGAGAAATGTACCTGAAAAAAAGTTCAAATTCACTGTTATCTTTCTCATTACTACCCCTATCCTAGTCTACATTATATCTCCCTCTAGCACTATTCTACTAGCTTCCCAGCTATGTACCTGTGATTCTTCTTTCCTTCCAATCTCATCTCTGTAGTGCAGCTGGAGTACTCTCTTCAAAACATAAATCTTATCTTGTCACTCCCTTTAATACAGCTGAAGTATGTTCTTTAAAACAAACTTAATCATGTGACTCCCTTGCTTAGAACCTATTTGATGATTTTCCCATTGCTTTTGGTCAAGATCTATCTAAATAAAGCCAATTTCTCCATCTTCTATTATACCACCCCAACACCCCCACTTCTCTTTACTTCAACTACACTTGTCTTCTTCCACCATCTATCTCAGGGGTGGGGAACCGTTTTTCTGCCAAGGGCCATTTGAGGGTTATCCAAAATTATCAGCTTAAAAACTGGCCTGCTATATTTGGTTAAACATTTAATTAACTCACCCCCTAATTCCTTGGCAGGGCCAGATCAAATGATTTCATTGGCTTTATATGGCTCTTAGGCCAGACATTCCTCACCCCTGATTTAGCACAGCATCTACAGATCCTATGCTATTGCTTTTAACTTTTTCATTAGTCCATTTCATACTTTTTCAGGAAAAGCGTTCTTGACCTTCATTACCCATTTTATAAGCTCTTGTAGAATTATTTTACTTCTTTTTAGAGATAATCTTGTAAGAATTGTTTAGTGTGTATGTGAATGTGAGAGAGATTTCTATTCCTTACACCTAAGTTTTTGTTCACTATCATATCCTCAGTACCTATCTGTTGAATGAGAATTTGAGGCATCATTTTTATGATCCTTAGTAACTTAAATTAGCTCTCCTTAATTGAGATTCAGGAATGTATTTCAGGGATCCTATAATTACCAGAAATTATGTATAACTTGGGGTTTATTCGCCTGTCTCTGAAGGGAAGAGTCCTTAGGCATCCTAATATATAAAAACCCTGGGTCTTAAGGTCCGATAACAATTGAGGCTCAACCAACCAGAAGTTACTCCTGCAGTCTGCTTCCACTGCAGGCGCAGTGACCCAAAACTGACTGCTGAGGGCACTGCGAATCAGGGTCAGAGAGAAGCCTGAAGAGAGAAGCAGGTATTGATCCTTTGCCTCTGGCAGCTTTTGATCAGGACTTGGTTCTCTCTTTCTCTCCCAGTTTGGCCAGTAGCCACAACTCCATTTCTCTCCAGACCTCCACCAGGGCTGCTGATCAGCCCCACCTTTCTGATCAGGCCCCATTGATAGACCCAGAGACACTGACTGGCATAGATACCGACCAATCAGAACCAAATCTGGGTCAACTGTGAGGAGCCAAT